GTCCCTTCACTTTCTAGCGTGTGGTCTGGTCCACATGCTTCAGCCACGTTATTGTGACTCCTCGTCTGCATTTGCAACACTCTTGAACAAGTGGGGAAATATCTCTCCTTGTTGGCTTACTGCGGCGTGCAAGAGCGCCTCAAAACATCGAAATCCATTGTCAGTCTCCTCTGGAAAGTCGAAGGTAATCTTCAGAGTGGTCGTTGTCTCCGTTACTGGGGTGCAGCTCGGGGTGTTGCGAGGTGCCGCGAGCACTAACATCAGCAAGGGATGATGGTGCGGACTCGCCGAGGGCGGCCAGGCCTCAGACACACCAGGTACGGTGTCTTGGTGGTAGGTGACTCAGGTGTAATACAAGGGGAACGCCCCCCCCCCCCCACCCTGTCGCGTTGTTGATAACCAGTTCGGTCGTCAGCGCTTGTTACAATGACGATGGTTCCAGCGAGGTTGTCTTGAAGCTCAGACCAGGGGCCAGATACACGAAGCAGTTACGCAAGTACTTATTCACTTATACAACTTTCCTCAATCTTTGACGGCTTTGGTTACATTTATTAAACAGTTTACAAGCATGAAAACTTGCCAATCAACTGTTGTTATTGTTATAAACAGCCTCCTGGTGCTTCGGAGCTCATTAACTGTTTAATAATTGTAAACAAAGCCGCCAAAGACTGAGAAAAGATGGACAGGTTCGTAACTGTTTGCGTAACTGCTTCGTGAATCTGGCCCCAGATCATTTGCTGTTCCCAATTTTATGATGGGAACATCAGATCATCAGACGAGGGAGTTGGGAAATAATATGAAGGACGAGGGGACTGGAGTTGGGGATAGAGGGGAGGACGAGGGGACGGGGGAGTGGAGTATGGAGGAGAGGACTGGGGGACAGGGGAAGGTTGCTGAGCCACAGCAACGCGTGGCCGGGGACAACTAGTGGGCTAATAAAAGTCCAGAACGAACAAAAGCGCTGACATTCCCTTTTTCAAACATGTGAGTGATTGGAAACTATTTTAAATATTCAACAATAACATCTATTGACCCTTAAAAGCAGGATATTGACCCTTAAAGGCAGGATATTGACCCTTAAAAGCAGGATATTGACCCTTAAAAGCAGGATATTGACCCTTAAAGGCAGGATATTGACCCTTAAAGGCAGGATATTGACCCTTAAAAGCAGGATATTGACCCTTAAAAGCAGGATATTGACCCTTAAAAGCAGGCTATTGACCCTTAAAAGCAGGCTATTGACCCTTAAAAGCAGGATATTGACCCTTAAAAGCAGGATATTGACCCTTAAAAGCAGGATATTGACCCTTAAAAGCAGGATATTGACCCTTAAAAGCAGGATATTGACCCTTAAAGGCAGGATATTGACCCTTAAAGGCAGGATATTGACCCTTAAAAGCAGGATATTGACCCTTAAAAGCAGGATATTGACCCTTAAAAGCAGGCTATTGACCCTTAAAAGCAGGCTATTGACCCTTAAAAGCAGGATATTGACCCTTAAAAGCAGGATATTGACCCTTAAAAGCAGGATATTGACCCTTAAAAGCAGGATATTGACCCTTAAAAGCAGGATATTGACCCTTAAAAGCAGGATATTGACCCAGATATTGACCCTTAAAAGCAGGATGTTTAACGACTTTAATAATATAAGCTGCTTGAAGCAAGGGCCACTAGGGCAGAATGGACGGTTTTACCTGTGGATTTTATTTGTGATAAAGATGATGCGACTTTCAGTAAGAGGTGGAAAATGTGAAAGATCGTGAGCAGGGTAGTTAAGATGAGGGTAGTGGGCCAGATGACCCTGATGGTTATCTTGAGGTTATCTTGAGATGATTTCGGGGCTTTAGTGTCCCCGCGGCCCGGTCCTCGACCAGGCCTCCACCCCCAGGAAGCAGCCCGTGACAGCTGACTAACACCCAGGTACCTATTTTACTGCTAGGTAACAGGGGCATAGGGTGAAAGAAACTCTGCCCAATGTTTCTCGCCGGCGCCTGGGATCGAACCCAGGACCACAGGATCACAAGTCCAGCGTGCTGTCCGCTCGGCCGACCGGTTCCTGATGGTATGACCCAGGGTATACACATAATATACAGTGTGTATATTGCGTATAGTGTATATTAATGTATAGACACAATATATACACTGCGTTCTAACTTTACTAGAAAAGGGGGCCTTTAAAGGGGGCCTCGTAGCCTGGTGGATAGCGCGCAGGACTCGTAATTCTGTGGCGCGGGTTCGATTCCCGCACGAGGCAGAAACAAATGGGGCAAAGTTTCTTTCACCCTGAATGCCCCTGTTACCTAGCAGTAAATAGGTACCTGGGAGTTAGTCAGCTGTCACGGGCTGCTTCCTGGGGGTGGAGGCCTGGTCGAGGACCGGGCCGCGGGGACACTAAAAAAGCCCCGAAATCATCTCAAGATAACCTCAAGATATACTAATAACTGATAGATGTTTGGTCAATAATATGTATAAGAGTTTTTCATTAGTATTATGCAAGATGCATATTGTAATTACTAGTGATAAATTATATGTTTAAGTCAATGTGATTAATAATAATTATCTGTTGAGAATTAGAATTGCAAGAATTGTGTTGCTGTTAGTTAGTTTATAGACAATGCCAGGATCTGATTTACACTTGTAGCCCCTTGGGAATACGACCTTATTTCAAATATTATCTTCAAGTACTCACCTAACTATGCTTGCGAGGGGTTGAGCTCTGACTCTTTGGTCCCGCCTCTCAACCGTCAATCAACTGGTGTACAGATTCCTGAGCCTATTGGGCTCTATCATATCTACACTTGAAACTGTGTATGGAGTCAGCCTCCACCACATCACTTCCTAATGCATTCCATTTATTAACTACTTTGACACTGAAAAAGTTCTTTCTAACGTCCCTGTGGCTCATTTGTCTCCCCCAACAAGAGACGACTAGTGGCGTGTCTTTACTACGACAATATCCGGGACTTTAAGCTGAATTAAATGTTTAAGCTCCAGTGTTTTTTTTTCTCACTCGATCTATGTCGGTATATATAATTTTCTGGAACATGTTCTCTTTTCCCTTTGTCCTGTACTTCCCCTTCCTCTAATGATTCTGTTGCTTTGTTTTTATGTACCATTTCACTAGCTTTCCAGTCCCCTAAAACTTTGTAGACAAAATAAATTCTTCATTTCTATTCACATTTAAATGTTCCGCTTCATTGAGGTTTATTTTCAGCTTTTCTATGTTTTTCCTTTTGAGAGATCTAGGCTTATTGACCAAAGTTTTCCATCCTCATCACTCTGCAATTTCCGGGCATTTCTAAGTACTTCCGGAATTTATTTTCACTCCTTTAAATGTTACTCTTAAGGGCCGATTCTTGTCTTTCTCATATTTTCCTATCCTCTTATAATCACTAATATTTTTTTTTTAATTGATGCCTTCTTCTAAACCTACTATTTTATCAATGATTTTTCATCTTCTCTGCTGCTCTGTCCACCCTTGATGATGTTCACTTTTCTGAACACCCAAACATTGTTATGGACTTGCAGTGGACAGTGGACTTGGACTGGACAGTGGACTTGGACAGTGGACAGTGGACGTGGACAAGTCCAGTGCAGTGGACTTGTTATGGACTTAATCTGCAGTGTATTATACTGTTGGTTACCAGTTCTTTCCTAATTGCTTGTTTAACTTCTGCTTCATGTTGGTCATTTCTGTTTTTTGACTTCCAATCACATAGTTTCTTGATCGTCTCTTTCTCTTTTACTTGCACTTATGTTTCTTTTATTTCATCTTTGCTCTTTTCCAGTCCTCTATTAACCTCCTCTATTGGAGTTATAAAAGAAGTTTATCTTAGCATATCCTTGCCTACCTCCACGTTAGTGGAGTTATTCAACACATGAGTCTATTTTCGTGTCCAATTCTTCATATTCACCACTCTTCACTTTCCATACCTCATTTTCTTTCACTATTTCTTAGATTTGTTCCTCCTGTCTCTTTACCTTTTCGGTTAAGTTGGTACTGTTTTTACCTCGCAACACAATACTTCATTTTTAAATTGCGAAGCTCACTCCAGAGAGCTCCATTTTCTTGTTGCAAATGTTGCTGATTTTACTTCTTTATTCGATTACTTTTTCTTCATTCTTCTTGAGCATGTCTTCAATAATCTCTGACCTGCCAAGACGACCTCGTGTCCTTGGGTCTTGTGGTGAGAGTCCTTAGACACAATCATCTGTTGGTGAGTTTACCTTCCAAGTGAAGGCGGGCGGCCATCTTTCCTCTGTGTGTGTGTGTCAGTAGGTGTAGTATACTCGTCAGCAGGTGTAGTATACTCGTCAGCAGGTGTAGTATACTCGTCAGCAGGTGAAGTATACTTGTCTGCAGGTGTAGTATACTTGTCTGCAGGTGTAGTATACTGGTCTGCAGGTAAAGTATACTTGTCTGCAGGTGTAGTATATTCATTAGCAGGTGTAGTATACTTGTCAGCAGGTGTAGTATACTCGTCAGCAGGTGAAGTATACTCGTCAGCAGGTGTAGTATACTCGTCAGCAGGTGTAGTATACTCGTCAGCAGGTGTAGTATACTTGTCAGCAGGTGTAGTATACTCGTCAGCAGGTGTAGTATACTCGTCAGTAGGTGAAGTATACTCGTCAGCAGGTGAAGTATACTCGTCAGCAGGTGTAGTATACTCGTCAGCAGGTGTAGTATACTCGTCAGCAGGTGTAGTATACTTGTCAGCAGGTGTAGTATACTCGTCAGCAGGTGTAGTATACTCGTCAGTAGGTGAAGTATACTTGTCTGCAGGTGTAGTATACTCGTCAGCAGGTATAGTATACTCGTCAGCAGGTGAAGTATACTTGTCTGCAGGCGTAGTATACTTGTCTGCAGGTGTAGTATACTGGTCTGCAGGTAAAGTATACTTGTCTGCAGGTGTAGTATATTCATCAGCAGGTGTAGTATACTTGTCTGCAGGTGTAATATATTCATCAGCAGGTGTAGTATACTTGTCTGCAGGTGTAGTCTACTTGTCTGCAGGTGTAGTATACTTGTCTGCAGGTGTAGTATACTTGTCAGCAGGTGTAGTATACTTGTCAGCAGGTGTAGTATACTTGTCTGCAGGTGTAGTATACTCATCAGCAGGTGTAGTATACTCGTCAGCAGGTGTAGTATACTCGTCAGCAGGTGCAGTATACTCGTCTGCAGGTGTAGTATACGCGTCTGCATGTGTAGTATACTCGTCTGCAGGTGTAGTATACTCGTCAGTAGGTATAGTATACTCATCAGCAGGAGTAGTATACTCGTCTGCAGGTGTAGTATACTCGTCTGCAGGTGTAGTATACTCGTCTGCAGGTGTAGTATACTCGACCGCAGGTGTAGTATACTCGTCAGCAGGTGCAGTATGCTCATCAGCAGGTGTAGTAGACTCGTCAGCAGGTGTAGTATACTCGTCAGTAGGTGTAGTATACTCGTCAGTAGGTGTAGTATAGTCGTCAGCAGGTGCAGTATACTCGTCTACAGGTGTATTATACTCGTCTGCAGGTGTAGTATACTCGTCTGCAGGTGTAGTATACTCGTCATCAGTAGTATACTCGTCAGCATTAGTATACTCGTCTGCAGGTGTAGTATTCTCGTCTGCAGGTGTAGTATACTCGTCTGCTGGTGTAGTATACTCGTCAGCAGGTGTAGTATACTCGTCAGCAAGTGTAGTATACTTGTCTGCAGGTGTAGTATACTCGTCTGCAGGTGTAGTATACTCGTCTGCAGGTGTAGTATACTCGTCTGCTGGTGTAGTATACTCGTCTGCAGGTGAAGTATACACGTCTGCAAGTGTAATATACTCGTCTGCAGGTGTAGTATACTCGTCTGCAGGTGTAGTATACATGTCTTCAGGTGTAGTATACTCGTCTGCAGGTGTAGTATACTCGTCTGCAGGTGTAGTATACACGTCTTCAGGTGTAGTATACTCGCCTGCAGGTGTAGTATACTCATCAGTAGGTGTAGTATACTCGTCAACATTTACAACACAGCAGCAACATTTACAACACAGCAGCAACATTTACAACACAGCAGCAACATTTACAACACAGCAGCAACATTTACAACACAGCAGCAACATTTACAACACAGCAGCAACATTTACAACACAGCAGCAACATTTACAACACAGCAGCAACATTTACAACACAGCAGCAACATTTACAACACTACAGCAACATTTACAACACAGCAGCAACATTTACAACACAGCAGCAACATTTACAACACTACAGCAACATTTACAACACAGCAGCAACATTTACAACACAGCAGCAACATTTACAACACAGCAGCAACATTTACAACGCAACAGCAACATTTACAACACAGCAGCAACATTTACAACACAGCAGCAACATTTACAACACAGCAGCAACATTTACAACAGAGCAGCAACATTTACAACACAGCAGCAACATTTACAACACAGCAGCAACATTTACAACACTACAGCAACATTTACAACACAGCAGCAACATTTACAACACAGCAGCAACATTTACAACACAACAGCAACATTTACAACACTACAGCAACATTTACAACACAGCAGCAACATTTACAACACAGCAGCAACATTTACAACACAGCAGCAACATTTACAACACAGCAGCAACATTTACAACACAGCAGCAACATTTACAACACAGCAGCAACATTTACAACACTACAGCAACATTTACAACACAGCAGCAACATTTACAACACTACAGCAACATTTACAACACTACAGCAACATTTACAACACAGCAGCAACATTTACAACAGAGCAGCAACACAAACATACACGACCACCTTCAGTCTTCTCACAGACAAAGTGCAGAAACCAAATAAAACAGGACAAAGTTGTCTCTCAATTCTCTCAAACCTCGAGAGAGAGAGACGGAGAACACAACCAATTGGTGGGAGCCGCGACACGCCGGTCGCTCTCTCAACATAAAGGTGCCGGGTGCCGGGGAGTACTTCGCCGTGGAGTGAACTCTGCCCGGATGGGACTTGGTTGCTCCGTCTTGGAGTTAATTCTGCCCGGATGGGACTTGGTTGCTCCGTCGTGGAGTGAACTCTGGCCGGATGGGACTTGGTTACTCCGTCGTGGAGTGAACTCTGCCCGGATGGGACTTGGTTGCTCCATCGTGGAGTTAATTCTGGCCGGATGGGACTTGGTTGCTCCGTCGTGGAGTGAACTCTGGCCGGATGGGACTTGGTTACTCCGTCGTGGAGTGAACTCTGCCCGGATGGGACTTGGTTGCTCCGTCGTGGAGTGAACTCTGGCCGGATGGGACTTGGTTGCTCTGTCGTGGAGTGAACTCTGCCCGGATGGGACTTGGTTACTCCGTCGTGGAGTGAACTCTGCCCGGATGGGACTTGGTTACTCCGTCGTGGAGTGAACTCTGGCCGGATGGGACTTGGTTGCTCTGTCGTGGAGTGAACTCTGCCCGGATGGGACTTGGTTACTCCGTCGTGGAGTGAACTCTGCCCGGATGGGACTTGGTTGCTCCGTCGTGGAGTGAACTCTGGCCGGATGGGACTTGGTTGCTCTGTCGTGGAGTGAACTCTGCCCGGATGGGACTTGGTTACTCCGTCGTGGAGTGAACTCTGCCCGGATGGGACTTGGTTGCTCCGTCGTGGAGTGAACTCTGGCCGGATGGGACTTGGTTGCTCTGTCGTGGAGTGAACTCTGCCCGGATGGGACTTGGTTACTCCGTCGTGGAGTGAACTCTGCCCGGATGGGACTTGGTTACTCCGTCGTGAAGTGAACTCTGGCCGGATGGGACTTAGTTGCTCTGTCGTGGAGTGAACTCTGCCCGGATGGGACTTGGTTACTCCGTCGTGGAGTGAACTCTGGCCGGATGGGACTTAGTTGCTCTGTCGTGGAGTGAACTCTGCCCGGATGGGACTTGGTTACTTCGTCGTGGAGTGAACTCTGGCCGGATGGGACTTAGTTGCTCTGTCGTGGAGTGAACTCTGCCCGGATGGGACTTGGTTACTCCGTCGTGGAGTGAACTCTGGCCGGATGGGACTTAGTTGCTCTGTCGTGGAGTGAACTCTGCCCGGATGGGACTTGGTTCTCGTTCCTCGGGCGCGATCTGGCGCGAGGAAAGTGAACCCGGAAAAAACGGATTTCGCGAGCGCCAGCGAAGAAGGGAAGACCCTTCTAAAAGTAGTTCTCCTTAAGGAACTATTTAAGTGGTTCTCCCGTGGCAACTATTTAATTGAGTGGTTCTCCTTAAGGAACTATTTAAGTGGTTCTCCCGTGGCAACTATTTAATTGAGTGGAACTATACAAGTGGCTCTGTTATAAGTACAGAGAAGTATATGAGAGGTTGTGTTGACGGAAGTATATGAGAAGTGCGTATATGAAGCCTATATTTTTCACTGCTGAAAGGCCAATCAGTTTTCCTCTGGTATATAAACGCAAATTTTAAAACAATAAATATTCCCAGTAGATATTTATCATTATTATTATGCTATATATATATTATAAATATTATATATAAGCACATAGACACTAATAGATACATCTATTTACGATAACAATAATCTTTCCACAGGATCAACATACCCCCAACAGTCAACATCACAGAAGTGAAAGAAAGAAATGATTTTCCTTTTCACAAAGAAGTGGAAAATAATGAAAGGTGTTTAGCATAAAATATGACAAATGTCTTCTCTGTAACGTCTTGTAATTGTTTCTCTCGTAAACAGTTGTCAGGGATAGGAGTGTGTGGGAGTGTGTGGGAGTGTGTGGGAGTGTGTGGGAGTGTGTGGGAGTGTGTGGGAGTGTGTGGGTATGTGTGTGGGAGTGTGTGGGAGTGTGTGGGAGTGTGTGGGAGTGTGTGTGGCAGTGTGTGTGGGTGGGAGTGTGTGGGTATGTGTGTGGGTGGGTGTGTGTGGCAGTGTGTGTGGGTGGGAGTGTATGGGTGTGTGTGGCAGAGTGTGTGTGTGCGTGTGTGTGTGGGAGTGTGTGTGGGTGGGTGTGTGTGGCAGTGTGTGTGTATGGGAGTGTAGGGGAGTGTGTGGGTGTGTATGGGAGTGTGTGGGTGTGTATGGGAGTGTAGGGGAGTGTGTGGGTGGGTGTGGGGGAGTGTGTGTGGGAGAGTGTGGGAGTGTGTGGGAGTGTGTGTGTGTGAGAGTCTGTGAGTGTGTGGGAGAGTGTGTGCGTGTGTGTGGCAGTGTGTGAGTGTGTGGGAGTGTGTGGGTGTGTGTGAGAGTGTGTGTGAGTGTGTGGGAGAGTGAGTGAGTGTGTGTGGGAGTGTGGTGTGTGTGTGGGAGTGTGTGAGAGTGTGTGGGTGGGTGTAAGAGTGTGTGGTGAGTGTGTGGGAGAGTGTGTGGGT